CCCTCCGTCACTTGTATCTCGTGCTAATTAAGAAGAAGCAAGTCTGGCCGCTTCCCGTCTGGCTCACTCAGAAGGTTGGAATTGTAGTCCTTATTGTTGAAATCCCCGGGAATTTGTTCTTTGTGTCTTTGATGTCTTGAAGGTGGGCGCCTTATGACTTGGAAGCATCAAGATCTGTGAATCCCCCCAAACACTGTAAGCCTTGATCGATCGACTGGAACTCCAATTCCGAACCATGGAACCATCTGGAAACCAATGTGGAGCAACGGCACGGCATGGGGGACTGAGATCGGGGATACTGTAGTCCGGATTTGGCGTACACACATGTGAATTATATTACAGTATTATTTTTATTATTAGATTTTATGTAGTCTATCAAGTTACCACTAATTAGCTGACTATAGATTAGATTTAGGATCTCGCACCGGGGGCTAGGCCACTGGCTCCGGCAAGGCGATATAGAAGTGGGGCACTTGACTGAGAAGTCAGTAAAGATAACCCGAGGTGCCAGAGTGGAATTTCGCCCTGGTCGAAGTTCATGATTAACAAAGCGCTCCCTTCTACTGCAGGCTACTATTTTTAAGCGGGCGGGACTACCCTTATCTATCCATTTCTTTATTTATTATCCTCTAATTTTCCTATTATATTCTATCATTGGTGTCACTTTGTTGGGTTGCGATCCATATTGTGTAGATGTTTTTGGCCATCGGGCAACGGTAAGGTGTAGCGCTGCTCCTAGGAATTTGTTTCCAACGCAGTTTGTTGTGACGTCTCAGCTGAAGATCTTGTCGAGTGAGCAGGATGCCGTTAGTTCCATCGGAATCTGGTTGCAATCGAGCTGTTGTGGTGTTTTTAGCCATCGGGCAGCAGGAAAGTGTCGCAAAGTTACTTTGACCGCATTCCGCCGGCGTTTGTTTTAACATCTCCGTCATAGGGTATTCAAGATGTCCTGCGTATATATATATAAGCACAGAGGGAGCTCTACGATCATTGGATTTACGACCCGGCGGGTCTGGTTTTCCTAGATACCCCCGCACTTGTCAAGTAACCGCCTTCAAAAAATTCCACCACACACCGATTCCAGATCGGGCTTCTTCCTTTGCCCCCTATGTGGCATTCAAGCTACTGTGGGCCATAAAACTGCTTAAAGGGAAAAGGAGCTCCGAACACTCCGAGGAGCTGCGTCGTGCGCTGTTTTGATTTTCGGATTGTGTCATGCCAGTCGATCTCAAGCATCGCCTGGCAGGCGCTTTGCACTACACCCAAGTGTTCGAAAATGCTGAGTCCCACTTGATTCTGGACTGATTCATGTGCCCATGAGATTGCATATCTTTCGAGCTCCGTGCCGGCAAATGTCCCTCCTCTTCGAAATCTCTTTCAAAACAACTTTGTCGGGGCCGTCCATATACCCAGGGCCGTGTGTTTAATTCTGATTCTCTTTGTCCCCAGAGGCACTGTCACTCTCGCTATCCCTCTTGCTCCGATTCTTTGCTTCTGTAATACTATATTCTTGCACCAATTTGGCGTGCTCGATGTCAGTTTCAAGGATGAATATTTCTGTTGTGGATTCAGGCTATCTGCCTTGTTGCCTCTCCCCTGTGTAATTCTGTGTTGACCTCACTTGATGTAGTCGGTGCCCCGCAATACTGTGATCATACTATAATTGCGTGGCTAATAGAAATAATTACCTGTCCGTCCATGGGCATCTATGTGAGTCAAGACATAGCTATCTTGTCCACTGCATTGGTTCATTTCCCTTTTGTGTACCTCAATACACTTTTCTATAAGTACTGTAGGAGAACGCTACTCGGAAATGGATGACCGGCGACACCGATTTGATCCATCTCATCCGATACATTAAAGGTCACGATCGACCCCAAAAAAAGAGAACCACCAAGAGAATACTCTCGCCTTAGTAAGAATTTTCTACTTCGACCTATCGATTATTGTCTACCCCCTTTCGTCAGCCGACATCCGTAGTGAAACACGCAACAATTTCCTTCAGCCAGTCTTGTTGGAGCATCTTCCCAACCTTGGCGGTTTTGTGAGCATCTACTAGAATGCTCTCTTTCGGATAGCGCTATTCAGAATACGCGGATAGTTGAAGCACGGCGTCCGCCGAATTCACATTTTTGTCTGTTTCAACTTCCGCTTCGATGCTTTCATCTGATAATTTCCCGAAACTGTTCAGTTGTACATTGTAGATGAAGTTGAGGACAATATTCTTCTTCAAACGGCTTTGGCGGCCACCAATACCCTCTCGAAATTGCCTTCTAGTCTCCCTCAGAATCTTCCCACACAGCAGAACCTGCACAGTGGTAGAAAACCTAAACCAGAGTCATTCCTTGGCCGAGGTTTTGTCCCGGCCGGAACAAATAACCTCGATGGGTAAGATGCTGCACAGAATTCGATTTCACGGATCTCTGCTGACAAGAATACCATCTACAAGATTGAACTTGTCCAGCATCTTGCTGCAATGGTTAGAAGGGAGTGTCTTTGGCCTTGGTCGACGGCCAAATCCCAAAAAAGAGTGATTTTGGCACTATAGTGATCATTGCTCATGCTAGGGATATGTTGCACAAGTGTGTTGATATAAAGCTTCTAACATCAAGTTTTCTCAGATTGCCAAGTGGGCGTAGTTCTCAACGTTTACTAATTTATGTCTTACCATTCTATTTGGGGATAAAAAAGTTCAATGTTAAGCCATACTCGTACAGTAGTGGTGAGCACGATTACAGCTTCAAACGAAATACAGTTGGTTATTTTCTGTCCTTACCAGATTTGCCTCAGAGCAGAGCAGCCTGCGTACAGTACCCATAAGGATACAACAATTGTGAAGAAAGGTGCACATCGGCTGTCTGCTTGACAGCTTGTCCACGTAGTGTACAGTAAAGAACAGTATCACGCAGCTGGCGGGGAATGTCCTTGTTGGACTGCAAGAATACATCACGTATTATCAACGACAGCAGCACAGCTGTAGCGGCACTTCTGGCGAAGATTCGTTCTACCGACCGAGCTCTTTGTGTGGATAGGTAAATCCTATCCAGACTTTAATGGTACGTTCATATCGAATGAAGGGACGAAGCCATACAGAACAACTCATCGCAAAAAGGGAACCCTTTTTCTTCCAGGTGGTCGCATTAGTTGCGGTCTTCTCTTAGCTATGAAATGGTGCAGTGCCCGAAATTAGGCGAAAAGGACGATCAGGCAAAGCAACGCCTCGAGTGATAACTGTAAATCTGCAAAGCCGTGCGGCACAGGTCGACATCAGCCGCCAAAACGAATACGAATGGCAGATGTGGTCACACACGTGTGCGCAGGTTTAAAAGAGAGGTTCGTTCAAATGACGAAACGTGGACAGCTCTGGATGGCAAACACTGTATTCATCATTTTGGCGCCAACCCCTTCTTGTCAGCGACTGACGAACCCTGACTTTAATAATTTAGATTAGTTAATAAAAATAATGCCTAAAATTAAATACTGCGCCTTCGGCATGATATCGCTGCGTGCGTTATCTCCTCATAGGATGTCAAGTAGTGGAAACGTCAACTGAACGAAACGCTTTCGCGGCGAACACATTTTATGCTGGGATTGACTGCACCCCTGGGGAATCTCGGCTTTGCTCACACGCACACGCACCTACGCCCAGCGCCTGATGGCCGATGGCGACAAATCAGAAAACTTATAAGTTGGACAAAGGGGTTGCGAAATGTATTTATACTACAAGAGGCCGGCAGTGTCGCGCAGAGCTTGGCATCGAACAGGCGCCTTGACAGACATGCACGGTTTATGCAATAATGCCGAATTTCGAGAGAAAATAAGACCAGAAGGTGTAGGCCCAAGAGGTGCATTTGAAGTCGCCCACTCCGAGTCCTTGCAAAAATCGTGCGTTTGCAAGGCGACGTCCCGTTTTGGCGAAACTGTAGACGAATGGCATGCAGTGCTCATGAGCGTTACACAATGGGCGGGCTTGTCCACAGCGGCGCAGTAATTGATTGCGTGCACCACACACACACACACACACACACACGCACACACACACACTGTTTTTACCGAACCGCGTGAACTCATTTGCCAATAAAAAAATATTTCAGCTTGCCGTGTGAATGGACCGCACTGTCCCCCCTTTTGAGGTGGAGTGTAGAACGTTCATGTAGCCGCGCTAGAACAACCTTTGCTACACTGACGTTTCATAAGCGGACAGAGAGGCCTTTACCGTCTCATCGAAGCGGACCCGCTACCGGCAGCTCCAACACTATTTCCTCCTTTCCCATCAAAACGCAAACTCGCCAACCTTGCAGACGCAAATTTATGCCAACAGTCGCCACCCTCGTGTTCACAAACCCCCGTGACAAATCCCTGAGATGAAGCGGAGCTGCGCTGCGCGCACTGCACACTATACCTCAACTGTCCAGTCGTCCCCCTTTCACACGGTACGTGCCCTCGCATAAACATAGGAAGCCGAGCCTCGAACGCAGATTCCAAAATCTTCCCCCGCAGCCAATCACTGTCTTGTGCCATGTGAAATCCCAGGCGAAGTCATCGTCACGCGTCCCGCCCGTTACAGAAAATTAATAATACAAGTCATCTTTTTTCTTTCCCGCAAAAATTTCCATTTTTCATCATTCGGCCCACTCCTTCAGCCGTCACGGCCTGAAAGCCCCAATGTCAGTCCGTAAGAGCGTATTTTCGCAACCTGATTTTTCTCGTTGGCGCGCCCTGCAAATACGCACTCGCCTTCCCGCTAATCCATCTACAGACTCTCTCTCAGGCGCCCCTGTCGCTTCTTCGGTATACACATCAAGTCGCCTCTCTCCTCTACACTTCCCGTTTCAAAAACCCTTGCAGTTGTTCACTGAGAAACTTTGCCGCCTCGCGAGATACCCCTTAGTGTTGGCGCCTTCACGTTTCCATATAGCTTTGTATTCCGTTCAGCCACAAAAAAAGCCAACACTGCGTGCGAACGTTCAAAGTGTCCGTTGGCCTTTGAAGCTTCCTGCAACGTCTGCGAGCAAATTTGCGTTGTTTCCCACTTTTCTCATCCACATGGGTCCTACGCTTGCAGACATGTTCAAAACGTTCAAAAGGCAATTTATCACGGCACACATTTACATGAAAGGCTTGATTTTGAAACCGACCCACAGTCAAAAGGCAGTCCACTCGTATCTAAAAACATCAACCCAGGCACAGAATATAAACGATACATGCGTGCACTCGGCAATCTGATCACTCCATCAGTAAGCTCAGGAGGAACAACTCATGCCAACCAAGCTATGCAAGTGGCGTGACATAGTGCATCGCACAACTGCACACGCAACTCTTGGAAACCAAAGAAAGCAAAGCTTATGGTCTTCGAATATACAAACCATGTACGATGCCATCCAGCCTGCACACAATCATGATCACTTAGAATAAAGACAGACATTCCCCACACGTTAGGCGGGCATAGGTCACATTTTTGCAGGAAGCAAGGGGATATCACATTATTTCTTCGCAGCCGCTCTCCTCTTTGAAGTGGTCTTCTTTGGTGCCGCCTTCCTAGCAGCAGCCTTCTTCGTGGATGTCGTCGACGTCCTTTTTGTCGTCTTAGAGATGGCCTTCCTAGGCTTAAGTGCTGCCTTCCTTGAGGATGTAGTAGTCGCCTGCGACGGGAATGCAAAGATATTAATCAGTCATACCAGGTTCAAGCCCAGTACAGGTATACATAATAATGAAATCATATAACAGAGACAAGACAAGAAGTGTTAGTTATTCACATAGACGTTGAGCCACCAAAACACAAGTGACAGCGATCAGAAAATTTTCAGTGGTGCGAGGGAAAGCATCTGTGTAGTGGTAAAACAAACACGAACGGAACGTACCTTCTTCAAGGCAGCCTTAGGAGCGGCCTTCTTCTTGGTGGTGACAGTGGAGGCCTTCTTCGGCTTGGCCGCGGCGGGTGCCTTTTTAAGCTTGTTCAGCTTGTAGCTAGCCTTAATCTGCACAAGGTCTCCGGCTTCGACTCCCTTCTTGATAGCCTTTACGAGGGCGGGCTTGTTAATATCGATGTGATACTGAGCCTTGACATGTTTGGAGATGGCTTGGACGGAGGAGCCAGTGCGGTCGTTGAGTGCTTTGATAGACTCGGCGACCATGACGGCATAAGTGGGCTTCGGCGGAGCAGCTGCTTTCTTCGCGGGCATGGTGAGGAAAGAAAGGTTTGGGCGGGTGCGGAAGAGGGTAGCGCGACAAACGAGGAGGCTGCGGAAGCGGGAGAGAGCTGAGAAGACGAGGAAAACGATGGAGGAAAGAACAGGTCTGCGGTGAAGCTTGAGGGGGCGGTTGAGTGGAGGCAAAGACGAAGGGGAGGGGGCGGCGCGTAACCGGGCGTGGGAGCGCTAGGGCTTTTTATGTTGAGCGTATTTGTGATTTTGCTCCTTGTTTTTTATTTGCAAGTGGGAGAATTTCGACCCTGCGATTTTTTTTTTCAGTCTTCGCGCCCAAAAGTGTCAGTGGGTTACAGACTGCGTGACCTTTCCAATGCCCGATTGGACCCGTTTGTTTTATTGTAGAAAAAACTATTTATGTCGAAAAGCCCCCTGAGTACATTTTCTGTCCTTACTTCAAGACCCGAACGGGGCGCAGTGCAGCGCGCCAAAACTGTTTGAATTTGTCCACAAAAAGCCCGCCCAATTTACGCTCCCGCCTCCTACTTGCTCCACGACTATTTTTCACCCCGTAGGCTTGCATGCAACAACTGCGCCAACTCTCTCCCTTTTCGCGCGCATAACTATCATTTCTTATGCCTCTTGCTCTGCCTTTCCCGCCCTAGCTTGCTCTCCTTCTTTCCTGGCTGCCCTTCTCTATGATAAAACTGGCGCGAAACGCAATCTCCAATGGGACTACTGTACTGAAGTTCGCTTCCGACTTGCTTATTTCGCGCGATATTCTCTCCGCCCAGCTGCGTAGAAATGTCTTTACCTATTGCAGGGCCGCCCCAAATGATCTTCGTCTCAATGCATACATACACAAGTTTTGTCTACACCCTACCATCTCATTTTTGCTTCTCCGTCTGGTTTTCGTGGTGAAGCGTGCGCAACCATGACCACATGCAATCCGAGTGCGATGGATGGTTTTGACACTGCCCTTTACAGCAGCCTCTATGCTGCAGGTCGCATATACTGCATACAAAACACATGCCCACCTTTGACTGGCAGACTCTAGCTCTTTCTTTCTGACATTTGACAACTACAGAAAGATGCACCATGCTTTAGTAAAGGTGTATTCGCAACTCCGCAGCACGTGCAACCGACTTCCCGCCCGTAAAGTCTTCCTTTGCCACGACAAATCAGGCCAAATCCCCTCAGCATATCTCAACCTGTAGATAGTATCGAACTGCTTCGCTGTCAAAAGCAGTGTGCTTCGAAATCTCTCTTTGTTCTAAGCACCCATCGGCATGCTTTTCTCGACAAATCCAGTGGAATGCAGATTGTACAGATGTCCCACTTTCTGAAGAATTCGTCGCAATTCAGACTTGAGGAACCCAGCTCGTTCTGTCCAGCCGTGAACACTACTTGCACTCTCCGCTGACCGGCGAGCACCTAATTACGATCACGCTAACGAAAAACGAATTTGTTTGTCACAGCTCTAAAAGATTCGTCGTGCTCATGGCACAGCCATCCTCGCAAAATCTGTTGCGTTTTTCATGATTACCACTATTTCCTGAAAGCGTGCCTGAAACTCCCGCTCGGTACAATCTGTACTAAACTACCAGCCTCTGTGATAGTAGCTACAGCAGTTGCCATCTGCACTATTGCCTTACTACCTCAATACAGTGCGGCCTAAATATGTAGAATTGACGATCTGGAAACGCTTTCTGATCTCTCTTTCGTCAAGGCTCGTGGAAGGGACTTCCATTCGTGTTGAAGCACCCCTTTCATACTCTCCCGCTCCGTCAGAGAACCCACCCCGTCTATATCACCTGCGACGGTTAAGGGTCCCTCTTGAAATTTTCTATTCGCCTTGGTGCGACAAATTCGTATCATCAATATCCGGTTCAACTACCGATAGCTCTCTGAAATGTGCCCAGGACTCCACAAGGTCTCGTCGAACCCTATGCCAATCCACATGCAACCCGTGGCTTGCAACAAGTTTCAACCAGGGTAGACCCTACGCTTTGTTGCAATGTGCAAGAAAGACGCAGTTCGCACGCCTCATTCATGTCACTTGGTATTGCACGTCTGGGTGCCGTTCATCCTGAATCATGCTCTTCTGAAAACCTGGCCCGTACAAGGCCAAGTGCAATCCATGAAGGGCAAATCGCTTGTCTTTAGTGACAAATGGCCTCAGATGAGGTCACGTTTTAACCAAAAATGAAGACAGTTTATACTAAACTATGTAACAGTTCTCTTGTACTGTGAACTCCATCGTATGGCAAAGCACTCCAACAATCGACAAAAGCTCACTTTGTGTGGTATAGTGACAAGGTGCCTACTATGAGCTAGGTCGAGGAAGAGGGGACACCGAAAACACTGTGCCCCACAAAGCTTAGGATTGAGTCGGAGCGAAAACTGGGAAAGTCGGTCGACTGTAAGGGCACAATGCCCTATTGTTGGTATGAAGCCGAAAGGGAACAAATGAAAGAGCTTCTAGGATCTATATAAAGGAGGCCCCGAACCAAAAGTAAGTCATGAACATCGGGCAGAAGTGCCGACTGATGGGCACTCGCAGCAGAAATGAAATTAAACCTTTCAATAGTTCCGATAAGCTAGATGCATTTCGTAGCCCGCCACTCGACGATAGTCAAAACATAAGAGCCATAAAAGGAGGGTTTGAGCGACAGTGGGAGTTCAAAGCAAGTGAATGGCCGTATCTCAGATATTCATCACAATGAAAGGAAGTAGAGACCAGAAAGAAGCTCAACACAGCCAAAACTATTGTCTTGAAGGCAGTATATAACATTGTTCGATAGGAAGGAAATTAATCGTGACCCGCGGTGAATCAACTCCCTCTACAGATCTTTTCTATCCCCCAGCTCCATTCTTTTTGTTGTTATCCTGTTGGGAGTCGCCCCTCTACGCACTCCGCCGCAGCCTCTAGCACATTATTTTTGCTAGAGTGTTTTTGTGCTGTGTTGTTCACCGTAACACAGCAGATGTCACCAGCAATGAGCTAGCTCGAGAAAGAACCATAAACCACTGGGAGGGTGTCTAGCAGAAGCTCATGACTTTGATAGAGCAGGGAGAATGTATGTGGCCTGTTAACTCACGAAATGCTTGTTTCGGTACGAACCGAGAATAGTAACGTGATCAAAAATGGTAATGTAAGGCACGTAAAGAAGGAAACCCCCAGCCTAGAGGGTAGTCGTACAGAGCTGACGGTGCATCTTGTAGTAGAAACTCCTTAGAGGATTAAAATGACAGCTGTCAGTAGTGCGGTAAAGGCAAAAAGGGTTTGCGTAGCTTGCGACTTGACATTGTTCCGAATGTAGTGGAGGATAAGTACGGTCTTGCGACAATAGTAAAGCCTATGCGTTAGGCCGCGTACTACGCGAGTAGTACTCGCAACGACAGGATAAAGTAAATAGGGATTAAGAGAAGTACAAACTCAATGGAACGTCGAGAGACAGATTAACGTACTATATCCTAGGCCTGAGATCACTTTTGACCAGCGGTGTCGCAATTTCGAAGGAAATACGTTCCAAACAGATCGTTGGCTGTTCACTGCCGTTGCCGAGGGTTTCGCTAATACATGCGACGCAGCAGCCTCCTAGACACTAACCATTTTACTTTACTACTATATTACTCTTGATGGGCTCTTCAAAGTGTATTTAAGGTCTATGACTATAGAATGTCAGAAGGGCCAATCGTAACGCAGTAGAGGGGATTGATGGACTCTTCAAGCGATAGAAGACACGGCTATTCGGCACCAATGCCGTCGAGGATATCTCTTCTCCCCTCTAGCTAGTGGTTTACCCTTGCCCGACTGTCTTTAATTACATATATAGTAAACCGTTCGGAGGAAAGACTAACATCGTTCCTGGGCAGGTGTAATGACTGTAATGTAGTGTAGTGCACGTAATCACCAACGAAGGCGTGAATCTCGTTGCAAGGTATAGCGGTACGTACAGGGACCACCAGGGTGCTCAAGGGCCTCCCTCGGTCTATACAGTGGTTTCGTGATAAGGGGGTCCTCGATAAGCGAATATTCGCTAATGCCGGTACTGATCACTATACTGATCAGTAGGCCCTCAAAAAGGGTCGCAATTGTGCCCCTCTGGCTTCTGTTAAAGTGTTCCGTTCACTGTCCCTCTTCCCAATCCTTAAACTGCATCCTTTTTGGATTCACCCGGATTTTCAAGTCTGGAAGTCGGTTGAGGTCGGGCTGAGATACGGCCAGTTCCACCAAGACCTCTACCCCTATGGCTACAGTCACCAGCCCTGAAGATAACAATCATGTCACATCCCTCCAAGCCCTCTTGAAGGCACCAACCAAACCCCTTCTGGCGAGCGGACTAGAGCTACTACCATACCCCTTCGCGAGCGTAGTTCGATTCAACCGACTGAAACCCATGCTGTAGCAGATTTGCTGACTGTTCAATCTAGCGTGATAACGACTACAGAAGGTCAACCTACTGACTCTGGGACTGGGGGAAGGGGTAGCGCGCGGGGTATAACAAGGAGTGGTCGTGGGAGGGGCAGAGGATCACGAAGAAGGGCTCGGTGGCGAGGAAGGGCTAGTACGAGTGGTGGAGTTGTCGGAGCGGGAGGTGGAACAGGGTCGAGAGGTAGAGGCACCTCAAGGGCTAGGGGTCGGAGCAGAGGGAGGGGCCGTGGAAGACGTTTTGATCGAGGTGTTGACCCAAGTGAAGGATGGGTGATAAGTGCAACTAACTGCACCACGGTTATGATGGAGAAGGAATTTGCCCATGCAGTCATTCAGCAAAAAGCACGTATGCTGTGCAGTGGCGTCGTGGAAAGAATGCGTGTGGAATGCAGTGTTCGGAACATCGCGCCTACTCGTTCGGGATTTACGGTGCTTCTGATGAACGGTCTGCTAAACCAACTGATGGGCTGGCTTAACGAGCTCATCGTGATAAAGAGTTTGGACGCAGATATCGTAACCCTGCCAGACATGTACAAGTATGTGGCAGTCCCCTTGTTGTCTCACACAACTGGGCTGAGCTTCGATAAGACTATCTCTGTGTTGCGGCAAGCTGGAAGTACGCCGCCGTCTCTGGAACGGATTAGATTCATCGCTGATCATGTCTTGGCTTACTCTGCGACTGGAAGTGATGCA